GTCATGCAAGAAAGAAGAATTTTTGGACGCGGGATCTGGATGACTTGTGTCAAGCAAGAGGGTTGGCGGGATGAAACAGAAAACTGGCAAACTGTACTTTCTGGAAAACTTTATTTTTGTCCCTTCTCCTCAGTCTTTGTGAATGGGTCTTTTGCACCACTTAGTCACCTGATAAACGTTCTGAAAACACGAAAAACAATTTGTTTTAGAAAAATAACTTTAACAGGAACTAAAAGAGCGTAGATAATAATTTAAATCAACAGCACTTACTTCCAAAACGAAGGTAGATTGCAAAAACCATGCATCATGTATTAGCATGCATGACAAGTATCTCGTCATGAAGTATCATCGTCAATCAAAATTATTTATCAGTCGCAAATGCAAGTTCCGGGTTAGCTCTTGATCTTTAAATAAAGGATCAAGAGTTTGATCTCTTATTATCTGGCCGGGTCCGTTTAATACCCGCTCTTCAGTCAGTCGTGGTGATTGGAATGCGGAATCCAAGGTCCACTAACAAAACATCAGGAATCCAGTGCCTGGAATCCGGAATATCCAAGACATAGGGCGAAAATGTCGACAGCGTATTTCTATTGCAATTATATGCCAACTCTCCCGAAATACGGCACCGATCTCCCCCACGCTCCCATACCAAATCTCGCGGATAAAATGGACGTTTTGAGCTTTCCTGTGCTTTAGTTTGAAATTTAGCGTATTTTTCGCCTCAAAATTTTAACATTCATTCATTGTACGGTTTCTGGGACATTTCTGCAGGTATTTAGTCACTGTAAAAACGCAGCATGTCAGGACTGCATCATAACTGACGTAATGTAGAAACCTCAAACATAATGGACTAACCACAAGACATAATGAAGTAACCAAGAGACCATGACGAAGTAATTAACTAACGATGAATAACCACATAAGAAAATTATGACTTTCCATACGGGGCCGCCATTGTCAATTTTCATTCAGTCCTCACGTCATTGTCATTTTTCACTCAGTCCTCTAGACATTCGTTTTTCAAGCTGTTTACAGAATTTGACAGTGTTTCCTGATTGGCCTTCATGTTGGAATGCATGAGTTAACGAAGAGAAAAACAAGAATTAAGGGGAAAGTTTTTTTTACCTGATGGGACGATGTACAGACAATTTTTATTTATTTTATTCCCCCAACCTTGATCTCTATGCTGGGGAAGAAATATCCTTAGCAATAGCTTCGCTATACATGAAAATTTGGATTTGGATTTGGGGATTGATTACAGATGCTTTGAATGTTCTTCATGGGACTGACTTGCATAGGTTTTCTGAGGAGCTGATTACATGAGCTTTTTCCTAAAAAAAAAGCTGAAGCCCTTGTAATTTCGAAAGGACTCAAGTTGCCCTAGGATGACTAGGACCAATCCTGACAGAGTTATCCTCCCAAAGAAATGTAATGAAAAATCCCCTGCCAATCTCGCTGCTTACATACTATTCTTTGAAAATTAAATTTGTCCCTTTCCTAAAAGGTTAGCCAGCCACAATTCCATGCAAAAGAAAGACGATAAGGTGGGCAACAAAACCGCCAATAAAGAAGGAAAAGAAGGGAAAAAACAGAGCGAGAGAGAAAGATCGAAATTGATTCGCAAAAAAAAGTCAAAATTGCGTATGCGTGAAAAACAAAAAAGCTGTCTAATTACGTCAGGTTAGTCGGAAAATATGCCTTTTTTCTTCCAAAACACGTTTCTAGCCATTCTTATGCTAATTAACCGAAAACTATTCCAAAGAAGAGGAATTGGTGAAAAATAAGGTTTTTTCGCAACTCGCCGGCAGTCACCAAAGGGTTAATAGGGACCTTACGAAACCACGACGACGACTGCAACGGGAACGTCATAAAACAATAGATTTAATTAGCAAAACAACAACTCGGCACGTGCATCACGCTTTTTTATACATTTATTTGCCTTCACTGCACAACTACGACCAAATTTTAAGTTTACTTGGGAACAGAAACGGCAAGGCGCTAAATTCTACCATCTCTATCAGAACCTTGAGCGCGTTCCGCTCTCTCCAGCTCCAGCCAAAATCCCCTTCTTTTCAGCAATAGGGCGAATTGGGATAATCGCGAAAAAAATGAAAATGAAGCGAAGTCTGTTTTTAAGCGATGTTTTCATAGACGTCGCCGCTGTCGGATCGCAAGGTACGGGAACGTCAAAAAAACAATAGGTTTAATGAGCAAAACAACAACTCTGCACGTGCATCACCCATTTTTGTACGTTTCTTTGCAGTCCCTGCACAACTACGACGTGAAATGACCAAATTTTAAGTTTACTTGGGAACGGGAAAGGCAAGGCGATATTATAAAATTCTACCATCTCTGTCTGAATTCGGGAGCGGTCGATCCTTCTCTTCAGCTCCAAACTAAATTCTCTTCTTTTAAGTAACGGGGCCCCTTGGAATAATCTCGAAAAAAATTGAAAGGATATTTTTCAGCGACATTTTCATGGACGTCGCCGTTTTCGGATCTTAAGGTCCCTAATAAGCCCCAGCTACTCTAAACGTAATTTACATATTCTTTAATTTTTTCCCAAATAATTATTAGTAAACTGGTTGTAGCGGTTCTTGGTGAAACCTTTCGATAGCCCCTTAAACCTTCCTTACGGCACGTTGGGATCAATTTTTGATAGCCTCTTTAAATCCTAACACGGAAAACTCGTGCGCCCTCCCCGAAAGTAACGCTATAGGCCCTATATATAGCGCACCATCAACTTAAATACCGATCATTTAAACTTTGTTCTTCCATAACGGTGGTTGAACCTTATCTAATGCCTACCAAGGAACAATGGTAAATTCAAAATTCTCTCGGGTTCAAACGCTGTTTTGAAATGGCCGAACTACTGCGCTGCAGATAGTTTATAGGGACGATGTATGCCAATCGACGTTACCATTCGTTCCCTTAGGGACAGATTAGACCCTTTAGATTGTGTTCATTTCGCTTAAAAAAAACTCGGTCACTGACCTCGTAAAAATTTTGGATATTCTTCATCACCAATCTCTTTCCCAGAGTCCGAGTTACCCTTGTCTAGCGGCAAGGGGGTAACTTAAACTCTGTCAACAAGATTGCTTTATCATCAAACAAGGAGAGGTCTGCCATTTACACCATCACAACAAGTTCTGATTGCTTTCAGATTGTATGCAAAAGGACCTTATTTAGAATCGATAACGAGTCATTCGGTTGGCCAAGAGAGGATAAAGGGGACAGAGAAGGCATCCCTCATACACACCCTATTCCATAGGTAATTCGTCTCGAGTTATTTTTAGAATCGGGATAAAGTTACCTCGCGCGCTGCGTGGATGTTTCGTGGAGGTTTCGCATGACTAAACGCCTTTCAAAACATGTCGGGCGAAAGGCAATGAAAGCGTAAAGAGATCGAGAGCATTCCTGAATATTGACGTGAAATGAGTCGGCGCTCACCTGGGAAAAGGGAATCGCTAGACTCTTTGACAACCCATGAAATCAGTTTAACTCGAAGTTGTCGTAACCTCAGTGCTTTAATAAAATGAGAAATTTCGCCGGTCTATTGAAACCGGTGGTTTGTTCAATAAGGCAAGTAGGACGCCAAGTGTTATTTTTGTTCAATAATAAAGACTAATAAAAGAATAAATATCAAGCCAGAAATTGCTCTCTTCAAACTGTAAATTATAAATGATCCTGAGAGAATATTCAGTGTGTTAAGGATTTCACTGCTGTACGGTTAGCTCTATACAAGAGAGGAAGGGCGATTCTTTTTTAATTTCCGTTTCGCTGACACAGCTTTAGCAGAAATCTCTCTGTAGTCGTTTTCGTCGACAAGCAATATCGCTCTCTGCGGCTCCCGCCATGTTGTTCTGCGTCAATTCGTGAAGGACGCGTGGCTCTGAGGGTAGGTCATCCGCGCGGAACAAATTCGGGCTATGTGATTGGCTGTTGTCTAATCCCCCTTGGAATCTGTGGTCCTAAAAATAACTCGAGACGAATTACCTATGGGGGGAATAGGGTGTGTATGGGGGATGCCTTCTCTGTCCCCTTTATCCTCTCTTGGGTTGGCGATGTCTCGCTGTCCTTGTGCTATTTTGATTGTCTTGGTATCCCGAGACATTACGTTTCCTTGGTTTATTCAAATGCAAATAAAAATGTCGAATTATTAGACGTAGGTCGGGAGTCATGGGAGATGCATGTATTATCATTTAAAATATTTCAAAATTTAGGGTTTGGTCAAAAGTGATACGTTGCTTTACCCCTTCAAGAAGTTTACTCTGGGATATCAGAGAGTTTGGGTCTAGAATTAGGTATCATTTTCCAGGAAACTGATCAATTGGTTGAAGGTTTTAGTCTATACTAGAAAAACCGCGGGAATTGCCACTCAAAAATAAAGAAAAGATCAATTTGGGAAGTTTAAATTTACGCAACTCAGCCTAAAAGCTACTCTAAGATAAGGGGATTCGAGTTTTAGTCTCGTGGGGGGTTGCAAAATTCAGCTGAACTAACTCTTTTGTAAGGGTTTTGTAAAGGCACATCCCCGCCCAAAAAATTCCTAAAGTGCCCCCTCCCCCTCCCTCCCGCGGGCTATTACCTTAGGCTAAGAAATAGGAAAGAGTAAAAATATTTGATAATGAAAAACGACCAAGCTGATTAATTTTGAAGTTTTTAGTCCCTACTTGCTGAACAACCATTGAAAAACGCTGTTTATAGTTGGGTTGTAATTGTTTTATTTTTCAAAGCGAGCGCTTTAGAAAGACTATCCGTCGGTTTGTCTCGGCGGGTCACGGACGAAGAGTCTGCATCAACCTCGTTTTCAAGATAAACGAGAAAAAGATACCCTGGAAAGAAGTTTGCATATCGCGTGACTAACGCTTCATTGTAATGCAGACAAGCATCCATCTTCCGTGATGTCTGGTCGGCTTGAGTTGGCTTACACAATCACCCATCTTGACTGGAGTAAATGTTAATTGAGAAACGGAGACTGAACTAAACCCGTCATCACGATGCCAGAGATTGAATACAACAACTTACTCTACCAGATAAGCAAGAGACTTGATGACATGAATGTGGGCGAACAGTTACTTGTTATGTGCAGAGGGAAGGTGACAGCTCGCAGCGGCGAAGAATTTCAAACCTTCTCGTTGTTTGAAGAATTAGAACAGAAAGGACATTTGAGTCCCGATCATCTGGTGTTATTGAAAGGCATGTTGAAAGGAGTTAACGAATGGACTCTTTTTGACGAAGTTGAAAAGTTTGAGACCAAGAGAAAGGAATACAACAACTTGCTTGAGCAAATCGTTCGAGTGCTCGACGAGTTAAATGAACTGGAACGACTCGTCTCGATTTGCGGAGAAAAGATTACAGAAGAGAGTCAAGGCAACGTTCATGATGTCCGATCTTTGTTTAAGGAGCTAGAAGGCAACGACTGGCTGGGAATTGATTGCCTCGACACTGTGAAGGAAATTTTGACCCAGATGGAGAAAAATGAGCTGCTCAAGGAAGTAGAAGAATTCGAGCTTCGCAGAAGTAGTGAAAACAAGTTTAGAAAACGCAAAGGTATATTTCCACATGTATACGGCTCACATTTCTAGCCTTGCTTCTCAAAACTTAATTTAAACATTTGTCTGACTTAACTCTGTTTTTTTTATTGTTTCAGCGCAAGCAGCTTCTTTTGTGTCATCAGTTAGAGACAAAGTGGCTGGAGGTAAGATACGTTTTATAGTCTCGCACGTGCTTGTAGGACTGAGTTTGCTCACATTCATGTTTGAGTAAATTTCTAGTCACTAGAAAATCTTAAATACATAGTGTAGCCAAGTTATTATTATTATTATTATTATTATTATTATTATTATTATTTCTTTTTTTGAATTTATTTATTTATTTTTTTATGACAGTCTTTGCTGGTGTTCTTTTTGTTCATCAGCCGGAGGCAAACCATGCACCTAAAGCATCAGTCAGTCAAGTCAATCATTCTATTCATACACTGAGCACCTTTCTGAGGATTCGTGCAGATCCCAGCATGCAGATCTTTTGAATCTCTGTCATAGTAGCTCTCTCTGATACTTTCTTGATGTTTTCTACCATACCCTGTATTATTATTATTATTATTTTTATTATTATCATTTTACAACAATTCTCTTTCGTAGACAAGAAAAATGTACATAGGGTATATATTTTAATATTTCATATTCTTGAATCTGTAAATAGTCTATTTTTTTTAAATCTATGAATAAAGTTTTGTTTTATTATTTTTATTATTATTATTATTATTATTATTATTATTATTATTATTATTTTCTTCAATTCCTTTTACTCAATTTCAGCGCTAGATAAGGGAATGATTTGCCAGGGACTGATAGTTAAGGTCAACAGGTCGCAGGATCACTTATTTCCTTCAGATCAAGCAGCCGTTGCGACCGCATTTAAAAGGAAATACAGTAGAACAGTTTTGACTCTAGTGAAAACGACAGACAGAATCGGAAGTCTCTACGGAAAAAAAACAAGTTCAGCTCACATGGTTACAAAAAATATTTAATTAAATTAAAAAGGGCTAATCTGACCCCTTGCAACGAAAATGTTAAACGGCGTGTTAATCCAAAATCAATACTCGATACTCGATAGGGAAATACAGCTTACCTACCACCTGCTTTTGTCGAATTTGGAGGCTTATTTATGTTTCCATCGGACAGAGCTGAACAACGTCTGCGCAAATGCAGAGACGGGAATGTATTGTTATTTTTCTGTAATCCGATTGGTCAACTTTTTTAGATCGCCCCAGTTATATTATTCGCACTGTAAATCTTCCACGACGAGGATTTCCAGAAACTTGTTGAATCTGGAAATATTGTGCTTGCAGCTCTCTGTTATTTGCCTCGGAAATACGACGCGATTGACCAACAGCAAACACCCTCATGAATAAAACATGAAAGTGCACCATCGAAGTCGGTGACAAACAGGTTGTAACCAATTCTGTTGCCTGGAAACCCAAAACGTACTATGACGTCACGCTGTCTGGCGCCTTTTAGAGTTTGTTTATGCTTTGTTGCTAGGTAACTGCGGCTACCAAGAAGACATATACATACTCAACTCGTGATTCTGTCTCGTTAAGCGATCACGCGGGTTCCACGCGTGATGCCATTTCAACAAAATTATAAACTCGCCTTCGAAAGGAATAAAATGATTATTCTAAGGGTAGACTCATTTGTAGCATATGCGTATAACTAACCACTGTATGGCAGGAATCGAAAGGGAAAGGGGGAGGGAAAAACGGAGAGGGGACTGGGGAGAGAAGTAAAGGACCTCCCCCCCCGCCCCCTCTTTTTCCTTGACGCTTTTCTCCCCACTACCCCTCCCTTTTTTGCTCCTTCCACGCCATGACTTTTGCCGGCTGGAAAGTTATTTTGCTTGGTGTGTCAGTTAAGAACCTCTGAAAATGGCCTATTCAGGGTGGGGATTACTCAATATTCTAAAATCTGCGAGAGCACTTTATGTAGCCCGCGAGGTAGGCGCTCAACAGGGAAGGGGTAAGCGGGACATCGAGCGCGCAAGACTCAAACACCTTCTGTTATTCCTTTTGTGCACCCTTGATTTGTCCAAATTTCTCTCTTTCGTGCTCAACTTTTCTCAACGCCTCCGCCAGTTATCTCACAGCCTCAAGAAAGCTAACGTCAGTGGTAATTGTTCTGTTGTCTTTATTTTAGTCCTGAACATTAAGACTGTGTTCAAAGCGGTCAATGTGGGCTTTAAAATTGCTTCCAGCTTAGCGCTTTTGCTACGTGACTCAACATATGATCAGCTCGTTGCTGCCGTTAATAACAGTGTTCTGCCTGCTGGGGCCAATCTGATTCAAATTTCCGAGGGATGCGTGAGTCTCAAAGTTCAAGTAGTGAATCTTTCAGCTCTTGAGACTTTGTGGCGTTTGTACCAAGATGGAACACTGGAAGCAAGTCTGCAAGCTTTATTTGTTACTGACGAAATGCGAGAACTTGCTGGCGGAGAGCAGGTTCAAGCCATTGTGACTATTGAGCCTCAAGAATATGAGAAAGCCCGGAATGAGCTGGCTGCTTTCGAAGCACAAGGTAAAGGATGGATTTATTTGTCTTTGAACGAGCCTTAGGAAAATCGGTTCTTGATAAAATTATCGTTCTAGGATTACTAGACATTCAGGTAGTCACAGAATCGAAATCTCAAAGATCTTCTGTTGAAGGAAAGGGAAGAACCGAGGAGCGGATCTAGTTGAATTTCTGTTCTTGATCTAGAGCCTGAGAAATCTGAAAAATAAATTGGATGAAGGGGGCGGGGGAGAGGGGTTGGTTGGACGCGGCTTTCTCGTCCCTTCCCCAAATAGGGAAAGGCCGGGGTCTGAAATTTGATACGTTTATCTGCATTGGTCCCATGAGTGCCGTGTTTCAGGTCTTAACAGGGGCACCCAACGACTGTTTCACTCCCCAGGCTAAGCTATTTTTCGTAGAAAAAGAAATCCTAAAATTTTCGGATTCGAAAATTTCATGAAGAGAGGAATGAGAAAAATTCTTACTTTCGCAAACCTTTAAATTTCATCTTAAATTTTCGGGAAAATAGTACTCAAGCCCTTGCAATTTCGAAAATACTCAAGTTGCCCTAGGATGACCGAACAGATACAAATTTTATAGCGCCGCTTAAAATACATTTCTAGAGATCTAAAAATACTTTGGATAGCCTTAATAGTGTCTTCAATACGTTTAGGAAGAAACCGTCGTTGGGTGCCCCTGTCTTTAAAAATAGGCCAGGTAGAGAAAATCACTTGGTAGGCATTTCAGGAAGTATTTCGCACGTGCACAACACGACGCGCGACCAGATTTTTCGAGGAGTACTCCGCCTGAATCGTTCACGACTTGTCATCTTTTAAATGCTACAACTCGGAGTTTCAATTTGAAAGTAAGTGCTGGCGTCAGAGCTGGAAGATAATACGGAGAATACAGTTTCAAAACACAAATAAATAAAGTGATTCGCCCATGGAAATGATTTAACGGTTAAGTGATGAAACCCGAGGAAGACAGAATATTTTTTATGTGTTTGCATGCTCTACGTATAGAGTACTATGTCAAAAATTTTTCCGATTAGCGAATGGAGGTGCGTAGATATCGACGCATGGATATTAACGGGTTTAATGTGGTGCTCGAGAAGTTGTGACTTAGGTACGGACCATTAGAAAAGTAATGGGGAGGGGGGAGGGGAATTTTCGAGCCGCAGGAATTTTTTTCGTTATCCAATTCCTTGTATGAATTTTTTTTAGGCCATAGTATGAATATTTCTTAGGGTTAATTGGCGTGCATGAATTTTTTTTCTTTTAATTTTCCCTTGCGCGAATATTTTTTTTGTACTTCGCCCCCCCCCCGCTAAGTTTTCTAATGGTCCGTCCCTTAAAGGTTTAACAAAAACAATTGGACCCGACTATAGTCTGCGTAGCAGGCGCTTGCCAACACAACAGTCAAATAATTTTACAGTTTACAGTCAGCCAGGGGTTAGAAGCTTTTCTTTCGCAGTGCCGTAGCATGGGAAGGGGCCGAGGGGGTTTGCCCCCAATGACTTTGACATGCACCTTTAATTTGGTCAGCGCCCACGCTCTTCACGCTGCTCTTCGGTTCAATGTTTTCATTTCGGTTCAATTCGGCGTTCGTGATTGCCGCTCAGCCCCCACCCCCCCAAATAAATCTAACCTTCAATAACCTAGCACTGTTTCGCCTCAACGGAGTGACTCACGGTCAAATTATCACCTGAACTAAAACTCTGACGGGCAGAGATTTTCAGACATAAAGATCAAATTTAACGGGTCAACGGGCGAAGAACACTATGCATGTGGTACTGAAGTCGCTTCAGTAGATAGTGGGGAAGACGCGAAAGTGAAACTCCCGTTTTATTTTCATGTTCGCTCCTTCTCAATCCCCGCGGACCCGACTATCTCGGAGCCTGCAACAGGCTAACACAAAGATAGTTTGCCTCGCACCTTTTCTCTCTTTTCTCCTGAGACCAGCAAGCAAAAGTCGGCAGTTTACTCCTCGTGCGCGTGCCTCTGATCTTACATGCGACAATATCATCCGACAAATTTTTGCTTTTTCCTGCTAAAAAATGTAGAGAATAGCGTATATAGGGCTCGCCAGCCATTTGTGAGCTTTTTAAGTTGATTGAAGGAGCTGGAGATACTCGCGATATGATCTGATGTGATTTAAAATCCCAGAATCCTATTTATAAAGAATTTAACCTGTTAACAAGATTTAATGGCGAATAAAGTCATGACGTCAATATCAACTCATACAATTACTCCAAGGCTTTTTTTTAACGCCTTCTTTTCTTGCTTCTTTATTATATTAGTCTCGCTTGCGTAAGCAGCAAGACTCATAATCTTCAAGCCGTTTTCCTTCTTCGTATTTAGGACACAAAAGGGCGGTTGGCGTCCCAGGCGTTCCTAGCGGAGACCGTGGAAACTCGGAATAAGAATCGTTGCGTGACCGAAGCCACTCATGTTTCACTGGTGTTTTGCAAAGAAAGCTTAGGAAACCTTAATAAATGCGATTTAGAGCTTTTTCGGAACGGGTCGGTCCACAAATTCTATCGCTTGAAAGAGTTGATAACTTTGGAACAAGTGAACACTCCAGTGGTCGAAAAAAAAAAAAGAAGAAGAATCTTAATTAGCAAAGGCTAACTGGTGGGGTGTTGTAAACTTTTATTGTATGCAAATGAGTCTTGTGATGAGCATACTGTTTATTTTCGGCGATGATTGAAATGACGTGCCATATTCTCATCACGATGCCCTTGAATTTTCGTGTAATTATACACGCGTATGAAGCCTGCGACCGCAGACGTATCTCCGGTCGTCGCTAAAACGCGTACTAAATCAATTCAAAAACAAATCGTCGGATAGGATAGAAAAAGTAAATATCCTGAAGAATACTCGATCGTCGATAAAGAAGGAAGTGAAAGACCTTTAGCGAGTAAATCCTGTTTCGTCTAGAATTAATCGCCTTAAGAGCGTTCTTGTTTTCTTTATTTCAATTTCAGAAGACCCTGATCATGAAGGAAAAGAGATGAAGCGACCTAAGTATTTAGATCAAGAGAAGTTCTCCTATGTTCAGAATTATTTAGAAAAGTCAGAGGCGCACAGCGTGACGACAGAACCAAGCGACAGTGGATTGCCGCGATCACATGGTACTCTGTCTGAGCTTGGAATGCAAGAAATCAGCGGTAAGATAAAAATTATACCTATTAACTTGTGAGGGTAAATTCTTTTCGTTTCCGGCATCTAGCGCGCTGCCTTGTTCTTCCTGGATTGCGTGTTTTCTTTTGTCACAAACTCAAGCGCAGGACCCTTAACATCGGATACTTGCTCTTCAGTCTGCTGGTATGTTCGTGTGGATTTAATCTGTTGACTACGGTTGCGTAAATCCAATTCCACTTTATTAAGTTGGCTGAACCCCCGGGCAGAACCAGCTGAGTGTCCGTTAAGCATACAGCTATTTCGAGAAAAGTTGTCGGAAAAAATGTACACTCGACAATCCCGAAAGGTAATATGGGATACGATCAATTCACTGTTCCTGACACTGTAGCTGTCCAACCTACTTTAATCTGTTACCTTCCTTTAGCACTCGCAAACATACGTCCATGGCCTCTGGCATTCTCGCAAATTTCTCTGAAGAACAGTGAACTCAAAACCACCACAATACCTTTCGGGATTGTCGCGTGCACTTTTTCCGACAACCTTTCTCGAAATAGCTGTAGTCGAACTTGTCCTTTTGTACACCAAAACAACTTGGACAGTTCTTTTGGTCTTAAAGATAGAAAACTTCACACATTCCCTGACACCGTAACAAGGACACCGCTGTAATGCCAACACACTTGGCCGCTTTGCCCGTTTAGTGTCCGTATCAGTTAACGAGGTTTAATTGTAAGGTCTAACTGCTGAAGACGATTTTCTTACTAGCCCTATTGTGTAGTTGAATGAGTGTGTTGTTTTCCTTCTTTGTTGTAGCTATTGAGTCTCGTAGAGAGTAATTGCGAGCAGTTGGCATTCACTAATAAACCTTGAAAATGGACTAGACTGCCGCGACGCACTCTTTTAAGAAAAATTTCAAACGATGCGGTATTTAAATTCTGAGAATGTCTCAGATAAATATTGGCAGCAATAAAATTAGCCACGCTAAACCGTCCGGTGCCTGAACACATACAGGGTCATGCTAAGTCAACCCTTGTTTTTTCATTGATTTTTGGAGCCGGGAATAGAACTGGGAGCTACTGGTTGTTAACTTCAGATTTAGAAATTTTCCTTTGAATTTGTAGATTCCTCTTCCAAACTTTGCTTGAAGGATCTGAGCAAAGAGGTGACCACCGAACTAACTTCCAGACTTCTAGGTGACCCAACTGCGCTGGATCGATTCTATCGAGCATTTGGGCTCGATAGTACGAAATTCTATTCCAGACGGGAACAGTGGAGCATTAGAGAATTGTTTCCTGAGACTCCAATCAAGATGTTAAAAGAGGTTTTTGAAGCCTTGAAGTTATATGACCTTGTAGAGTTGTTGGAGAGAGCGACAAAGCCACGCACACTTCATCCTGCTCTTTCGCTAAAAGAAATAGAGACTTTACAAGATGCCAGTGATCGCCCTACAAAATTTTACAGTAAAGCAGAGGTTTTAATCATCCACGTCAATGAAAATGTTGCACGCAATGATGCTGAAAAAATTGGTACTTTTTTTAAAGCTCTGAATTCACAGACCCAGGTAACTTCATTAAGTATGGAGCCTCGAAAGAAACTTGTTGATGAACTTTCTTGGTTGAGACGGGAAATTCAAGCTGGGATTGAGCAGGAGCGTAGCCTTGATTTTCACAAAGGTACTCACAATTTTCCAAATTTTCCCTTCGCCCCCTCCCAAGTCCCGAATCTGTGTCATGATTAAAGAGTAGGTTAGATTACAAGCGTAGGCGTTTTTACTGTATATGAAAATTGAATGCCGTAAGTTAGATGTAAGATTCTTTGTCACCTCTTTGGGTACATTGACTGAAGTCAAGATTTATTTGGTTTCAATTGTGCTTGTCTAAGACAGTGGCGCGAAATCTTTAAGCCAATACCAAGGCACACAAAGAAAAGCAAATTCTCCAAAAAGGTATTGACGTGCAGTGAAAAACGTGGTATACAGTCATTAGCCTGTGTGTAGACACCCCCTCTTAAGGGGAGGGGATGTTTGTACTCAGGCTAACATGTACAAGTATTTTAAAAATGTTATAATAATACGAAACCCACTTTTTACTTTGTATTATTTTTTACCTTACAATGGTGTTACTTGAAATGTTTATGACGATCGATATTGATGATCATGATGGTGATGATGAAGTAATGATCAGATAGTAATTCGAAACATAGCAGTCAACATTATCAAGTTTCTACATCATACTTTTTCCAAGTCCCGAATCTGTGTCACGATTAAGAGTAGGTTAGATTACAAGCGTAAGCGTTTTTACTATATATGAAATGCCGTAAGTTAGATGTAAGATTCTTTGTCACCTCTTTGCGTTCGTTGACTGAAGCACCTCAATCGCTTATAAATTAAGTAAACAAGCTGTTGGGCGCATTGTTTTTTACCAACAGATGTAATCGTCCCCTACTTTGTCTCAGGGCTTCCAAGTCAGGCCGAAGAGAAAACAATGCGTTCCTGACTATCCAGTCGCAACTTGCTCTCTGCCTACTATTTTCCCACCTTTTCTATAAATCAAGAGCCATGATAAACATATTCGGTATAATATATATAGATTCGGTCTTAACCAATGAATCACGTCGCTGCTCTGGAAATCGACGTTCGGGTGTGGAAAAAAAACGGTTTGTTGTTCAAGAAAAAATATATTTAAAAGAAACAAACAAGGTTAAATTAATTGAAGCAAACTGTGTTTCCTAAAATGATTATCTTTCATTTATTTGCATTTCTATTATTATTTACTTTTTTATTTATTGTCTTATTAATTTTTTTAAATTTTTTTTAACCCTCGACTTTTTCAGATACGAACGTGTTTACCGTGCATACAAGTATAGACGCCCCTCTTGAGGAGTCGGTACGTGTGCCGAAAAGAGTCAAGTTACGTGATTTCTTTAGCGCACCAAGATATGTCTACTCTTCTGGGCACAAAACAGAAAGAGAGCTGGTAGAAGAAAGAGAGCAGAGGATGAAAGAAAACGACACGAAAATGATGCAGATAAAAGAAAAGCAGGAAGAGTTAAAGATGATAGAAGAGAAGTTTGTAATGGCCGTTTCAACTGCTATCGACAAGTGGGTAGAACATGCAAATGATGAAGGTTGGTTGATATCCTTTGTTTAATACTACAACTTTGATGTACATTTGTTCTCTTTCATATATTGGTATATACTCCGTTTCAATCTTGTAAACTTCAGTATCAGATTGGAAGCGGATGTGAGGGGCTTTTTGGAGTCGGTAGGGAAGTCGAATCTGTCAAAGGCGGAAGAGCTATTATATGGCCGCTTAGTTTTACTTCGCTTACTCGGCTTAAGACATTTAAACCCCTTTTATTGTTGAAGTCATTAAGCCTTGGACTTTTACTATGAACGTTGCTGCAAACATAAAACAGCTTTTCATGTCCGAGAAGTTGTTGAGACTTTCAAGAAAATCAGGCACCACCAATAATCCACATTCTCCCTCTGTGGATTAGGGGTTGCTGTCAGCTGTTTTGAATAAGTCTTAAAGCTAGTTAAGATGTGGATTACAAACGTACGCAAAGGTTTGGAACTTGCACCCACAGTAAGCCAGTTCACATGAAAGAAGTTTCACTTAATAGTATTTAGGGCAAGGCTATGTTAACGGTCTCGATTTCTCTTTTGTTTTCGAAAACGAAAGAGTTAAAAAAATGAATCAAAAGAAAACCCGCCTTGGAGATAGCTGATAGGTATGGGAAACGACCGCTTGATTTAATACCGTTTCTGCTTTGCTGGAAGATACAATAGAATTTCTGTACAGTTAGGCCCA